TCTCCAGGGAAAAGAGGCAATCTGAATTTGGCAGGAACATTTAACTTAAAAGAGAGTGGCTGAAGATGATGCTAGAGAGTGTCTGCAACAAGCTCGGGAACGATTTCTATGCCTGGAGAAAGAACTTGAGCTTTATTTATAAGCAGTGGGAAGTCAAGAAGAGCTTTCAGGCAAGGAATGACATGCTAACTTTAAAAGATGTTTCTCAGGGCAGAGTGAGAATGGACCTCAGTGTGCTGAGGAGTGTGGGTGGGGGTAGACAGATGAGCCAGGCCCACTCACATGGTGGTGAGTAGTAATGTCTCAGAAGGTGTCAGCTTAGCTCCAAGTCTCCTTCAGGAGGAGCTGGTCCAGGGCTGCCATAAGTCTGGTGTCTTCCCAAAAAGGTAGAAAGAGGCTCCCCTGCCTCCCAACAGCTTAGTTTCAAGCTCAGACACTTGCTAAACTTGGCCAGCAGAGTGCAGACTCAGTCTTAGACTCCTTCCTCCATCCCCTTGGTTGTGGGACCTGGACTCCTTCGGCAGGACCTGAAGGGAAGCTTCTCCTAAGCACATGGATGGGGAGACAGGGTGCCAGAGCCAAAGGTAAGGTGTGTGCCTGGCACAGCCACCCTGTAGCAAGGAAAAGCTGTTGAGTGTGACCCCTAAAGGCACACGCTTGGTGAAACCAACAAACGTGGCTTCGTGACCCTGAGCAAGTTATATGATTTCTCTAAGCCTCAGTTTGCTCATCTGTTAAGTGGAGCTGGTAACAGTGTCTACCTGTTTGGGTTGCTGTGAGAATTAAATGAGATCATGATGCACACAAAGGCCTTAACTCCGTGAGCACACGATATACACTGCCTGTTAGCTGTTAGTATGCCTGCTATCCCAACAACGAGTGAAAGCCCTTCTAGGCCTAGAGAAAGATATTGGCTATACATGCGCTTGAGTTAGCTGTCACCTGCCCTTATCCCCCGCTCCCCCAAACCTCAGTAGGAGGAAGACTGGCATCCAGAGACAGATGGCAGTCATGGGAACTGGATATATCACAGCATTCCAGGGTTGGCTCTGTCTACTGACTTCATCATAGCAGACAATACGGTCATAGGGCAGGGTCACTGGAGGAAGCCCCAACGACAGGGTTCATATGGGAAGCAGGTGTTCTTTCCATATGTACCCCGTGTCCTCAGTCTGCCCTTCCTTTTCTAATCTGTCCCACTACCCATACTCTCAGCTGCTGGCCCTCCCATGGCCCTTGCCTTGCAAGGGAAAGGTTTCTTTGCTCAAGATTTTTGCCCTTTTTCTCTGGATGTCTCGGACAGTGGCAGAAGTGAAGCCGCCATCTGGGCATAGTAATACTCAGCACAGGTGGCCTTGTTGGCTAGGCGAGGTGGAGCTAGGTGTCCTGGGGAGTGGCGATGCACTGACCAGTTATTGGGCAGCTGGGACAGAGGGCAGAAGGTAAGAGGAACAGTAGAAGGAACTGTGGTCCCCAGTCTGTCAGGGAGAGAGCAAGCTGGGGGTGAAGGATGAGGCCTCTGCCAGTGGGGAGTGGCGAGAGATCAGCTTGGGCTGTTTGGGTGGCATAAGCACAGGACATGGGAACAGGATGTGAGAAGACAGGACACTACAAGCAGAAGCAATCTTGGAAACTGCCGGTTTGGCAGATCCAGGTCTTGAACTCTTCCAAGAGGCCTTCCCTAATAGCTCTAAAATCATACTTCTAGCAGCACCCTTAGCTGCAATTCTCTTTCTTTACCCTGCTTTGTTTTTCTTTATAGCATTGAGCAAAACTTGAAGTTAAATACTATTTATCTATTTGTTGTCAATGTACTGCTTTTCTCCATATGAGACTGCTCTATTTTCAACATTTAGAACAATGCCTGGCACACAGTAGGTCCTCAATAAATACTTGTTGAATGTAAGATTGAATGATCACCATCATTATTCAGAGAAGAATCATTGCTCCCTTAGCTGTGGCTGAACAGCCAGAGTCTGTGCTACATGCTGGGGATGAGTCAGTTACCTTGTGGTCTCGCAGAGTGCCACCGTGCTCCCCTTTTCTTTGGAGAGTGCTACACAGCCTTGGATCTGAAACAACATTGCAAAGATCCTCTCCTGACATCACAGGGGCCACGAAGCTGGGAAGGGATGTTGCCCTTTGCCCCTTATCCTTGTCCACCTTATGTTAACACCAAGGGTAAGGGCCGTAGTCTGGGAGGTGAGTTAAAACATCCTTCCTAGATGTCGGTAGGAGGTGTGTGTGGGTCAGCTGGAAATTGCACTCATAACCGAGGAAAAGGGAGGCCCTAAAAACCTCAAAAGGTGTTTAGGTTGGTTGCCATTTCTTTGGCATAGGAGCAGGTCTCACTTTTCTGTCCTGTAATAGAGAAGTGGTGTCAGGACTGGGACCACTCCTAGAGGTGGAAGACCCAATCCAAACCATCCAAAGACAGCATGTCTGGAAGGTGGATTAACCATCCCACTGCTACCGTGGCCAGACTTGTTCCAGATAGGAAGGCACCATTCCTTTTCATGCCCTAGAAAGTGCATTCCCACTAAGCACCTCCATGTGATGAACAGAATTAAGTCTCAGTAGGTATCTGTGAGCCTGACTATAAGATACTTGGGTGAAAAGTGAAAAATACTCATGAACTCAGATATTTCACAGACGTAAAACCAAGTATCCATGTAATTGCACTTTTTACTTGGCAACCAGAGATTTGGTGTGATATAGATTCAGAGTTCATAGTATTGTATACATGTGTATATGTATATTTTGTACATATGTATCGAGTTTTAAAGTTATTCATGTGTTCTGCTTATAGAGACTATTTCACATTTTTATAGGCTTTTATAGATGACACTCTTCATATCCTAAGGTTGGTCCAGGGCTTAATTTTTTTTCTTGTTTGCAGGTGTCATGTCTTGAATCTGTGTCCTAATTAGATGTTCAAGTACTGCAGTATACACCTTGTTCTTAACAAGTGCCATGAAGACTGTGATCATCTTGGGGTCTTCTTACACCCAGTAAGTAGCCATGTGATTTAGTGCAGGGCATGTAGCCTCTTTGCACCTCAGTTTCCTAACTCAAATTGCAAGAGATTGAGTTAATTACTAAGTTTCATTTTCAGGCAAAAGAATCCATGATTCGAGTAATATTTTTATATAAATACTATAATTTACTCCTCAGTTGGAGGAATGTGATGTATGTCACCATCATATGTGGAACATCTATATAGGTTGATCAGTATCCAAGTTTAGGAAAAGCATCAAATATCTCAATACACAAATATGTTAAGATTTGTGGGGGGAGGGGGTTGTGGTTTTTTTTTTTAATTAGCTCCTTTCTGAGGATTATGTCATTAAGATACTTCATGCTCAACCAGTATGTTTATTATTTTAAATAAAGGAGAGGACTTTATTTGATACCTTTATTTATATGCAAAACAGCGCACCATTCATGAGATATGAAAAACTTGTCAGATAGAAACCAGATTATATCTATTTTCACTACAAAATATTGCATTATATAAAGCAACAGAGACACAAAAAAACCCTGAAAAAGACTAAAATCTTTGGATAGCAGATGCAGGTTTTTTTTTTTTCCCTTGTCTCTAAAATACACTCCTTGTTTTAAGAGTTTCACAGCTGAGAACATGAAACATTTTCAGGTTATAGACTTTTCTTTTTGGTTGTCACAGAGGAAAGTAGTTTTGAATTTTTTTTTTTTAGGAAAATAACTTAATTTCCTAAAATCATCCCACGCACAAACAGCACACACACACACACACACACAAAGAAGCTACTCTCCTTACAAACAGTTTGTAAAGTACTTTTCAGACATAACTACAGATAAGAGTAACAACACTTACTTTTTTTTAAAAAACTATAATAGTGAAGTGCTAGTGTTGCTGATCTCACAACAAAAGAACCTTTCAAGAACAAACATCTTAATATATAAAATATGTTTAGAAACAGGGAGGAGTGGGAAATCTGTTATACAAGTGCAATATAATTAGAGCAAAAAGAAAGACCACAGTATAATCTCAACAAACACGTAAAAAGTCAGACATAATTATTCCACAGGAAAAAGTGTAAACACTTGACTATAAATAAATTGGCACAGAGTATCCAAAGTAAAATTATCACCACTCTGAAAAATAAATGTCTTGAAAAAAATACTCTACTCCTTCTAACATAAATAAAAATAGGTTGTCTTTTTCTAACTGCACCTATAGGTCCACATATTTAAGGTCACAAATAGATGTATTTGGATATAAAGGGGCACTTCGCCTGAAAAAGCAATCCGACATTAAAACTCCCATTTAAGTGTGGATTCTCTTGTCTCCGTGAGTGTCATACCTCGGGGTTAAAATCTCACCCAGCTCAAATCTTCCCACAGTGCGTCTGTTCTCGGCGTATCTCTTAGGCTCACCAATACTGAGGATTTACCTGTCTTATTTGGATTCTGATATAATCTTCCTTTTCGCAGCTGAACGGAAACTTTCCTGTTCCACCTTTCTGTGCCTTAAATCTCTACACAGGAGGAGGGTCCTTCCCAAACCCTCCAAATGCTGGGTGGTGATTTGTCAATCAGAAAAATCCCAGATAGTCTAAAGTTAGAGGAGTCTGGACTCTGAGCTTCTGCCCTCGTCCTCTCAAAACATCGAGATCTACGGGAAGATACAGGTGGGAGCGCTCGGCGTCTCGGGGCTGAAGCAACCAGCCCTAAAGGGGTCCCAGCGCACGGAGGGGAGGCGGGAGGCGGTGCGAGGTCTCGGGGCCTCCGGGAGGCTCGCCCGGCCCGGAAGATGCCCCGCTGCCAGCCCAGGCTCGCCAGGCGGCCCCACCTTCCCGAGTCGGAAGCCTTCCGTCGCCTCCCTGCGGACCCGACCGGAGGGGACGGGGACGCGGCCGCGGGGCGAGCTCCCCCCGCGTGCAGGCTCGCCCCGCGGCCGCCCTGCCGGTGGGCTCCCCCGCGCCCCGCGCCCGCGCCCCGCGCCCCGCGCCCGCGCCCTACACGTCCAGGACGTGGTTGAGATAGGAGATGTAGCAGATGGCCAGGCGCAGGATCTCGATCTTGGAGAGCTTCTTGTCCGGGGGCAGCGTGGGCAGCAGTTTGCGGAGCTCGGCGAAGGCCAGGTTGAAGGCTTCCACGCGGATCCGCTCGCGGGTGGCGTGCGCCGAGCGGTACTTGGCGGTGGCGCGCCGGCGGCGGCGCTTCTCCTCGCGGCTCAGCTGCTGCGGGTGCGGGTAGAGCGCGGCCCGGCCGCCGCCCTTGCCGCCGCCCTCGGCCTCCTCCACCGGCTCCAGGTCCGACACGCTGCCCAGCACCTTGGCGTCCGCGCCGCCCAGCGACTCCGGGTCCGAGTGCGCCGAGCTGGGGTGGTCCGAGTCGGCCGCCTGGTCCGGACTCAGCATCATTTTGGAGGCTGAGGGGGAGTCAGAAAAGCAATCAGTACAAGGAGGCCGGGGCTTCCGGATCCGAGGGGCAGCGGGCGCCCCGGGCCCCCTCTCCGCCCCAGGCGGGCGCGCTCGGCGGAGCCGGCCCCGCGGGGAGGGGAGGGGGCGCCGGGGGGGGGGGCAGGCCCGAGCTCGCGAGCCCCGCGCCTCCCCACGGGGCGGGGGCCGGCCGCACCCCGGGCTGGGTCCTCGGCCTCGTGCGGGCGGCCACGGCGCTCTGTGGGCCCGGCCCCGCGGGGAGGCCGCGGCGGAGCTCTGCGCCCCGCCCCGGCCGAGTCCCGACCCCGCAGGGCCGCCCGCCGCACTGCCCCTTCCCTGGCCGGCGAACGGCCCCGACAGCGAGCCCCTCCGCGTCTGCGGGGGCGGGCGGCCGCCGGGGGCGCGGCACTCGGCAGCCCCAGGCCAAGGCGCCGGCGCCCCTGGGCGAGCGCGGGGCGCGCGGGGCGGCTGCGGGGCGCGGGGCGCGGGGCGGCTGCGGGGGAGCCCGGCCCGGGGCGCGGACGCCGCCAGGCTGCGGGCCCGGGATGGGGATGCGGACGCCGCCGCCAGGCTGCCCGGCCGCCCGGCGCGCCACGCTTCTCCGAGGAAACAAAGCGGTGACGGACCCGACGCGGAGACCCCTTCCTACAGCAAACTGGCCCTGATGCGCTCGCGGCCCCCCGAAGCGCCATCTGTCACGCAGACAGGCGCGCGCATCGGGGACCTCGGGCGCGGCGACGGCGGACGGGACAAGGCGCCCGGCAGCCGCCGGCCACCCGGAGAGGCCGCGGCCGGGTGGCGGCGGGAGCAGAGGCCGCGAGGGCAGCGGAGAGCGCGGCGGGAGGGGACGGCGCGAGCGGCCGCCCCTGTGCTCGGGGCCCGCGGCGGCCCGGCCGAGGCCGACCCTCGGCGCTCAGCCCTCCTGCAAGGCCTCCTGCAAGGCCTGGCCGCGCTCCTCTGGGGCCTCGGGCTCCGACCCGGATCGCGGGCCTCCGGGGAGGGCGCCGGGGCCGGGGCCGGGGCGGGGGCCGGGGCCGGGGCGGCGGGGGCCGGGGCCGGGGGCCGGCACCTGCGGGGTCCGCGCGCACCGGCCGCGGCGCGGGGCAGCAGCAGGCCCGGCCCGGGAGGGCAGCCCGAGCCGCGCTCGCCGCGGGAGAAAGCCTCGGCGGCGGCGTGTAGGAGGACTTGCTCCTGGAGGAACAAAAGCCAGGGAAGTGTGATCGGCTCCCAGCGCCGCACTTGCCCGGGAGCGAATCTGTCTCCGAGCTGCCTTTCATTGCGCGGCCAGGAAAGCGGATCCTCTAAGGCAAAATAAAAGCAAATGCTCCAAGTCAGCTACATGGGACTCCCTCCGGGCTTTTCACAGATAACATTCGTAAAGTCGAACAACTTGCATCCACACATTCGGCTTGAAAGGGCATAAATAAATTGGCGAGGGACGGAAAATCACAATAAGCAACAACATAGTTGTTAGTGCGGCTAAGAAGTTCCTGGGCTGCCCTCAAAGCAGGTTAAAATTCTCCTCCAGATACCTTTTTAAAATATTCACAGATAGCATGTCGTGCTTACGTTTTATTTATTTAACAATTAGCTGAAGTACGCCCACCAATGCAATATGAATAATCCAACTTACTTCCAAGGTGGAGAAAAAAATTATTTAAAGGAGCCTTACCTTGTAAAAGCCTTTTCGAGAATCTTTTCTCCAATCTTTTAGAGTTACAAATTCCAAAGAATACAGGGGAGGAATTCCGAAATATATTAAAAGCAGCAAATATTTATTACATTCGAATATGAAAAAGCAGCTGTCATCTCGCTGGTGTCCACAGCGAGGGACGATAATATCTCAGGATGTGGACGATATAAATGACTGTTCACTTAGTTGATAGACCAAAAACGCCTTTTCCTTTTAATTGTTCACAGACATTTCAGGAAATTCGTTGTTGATTTTTTTTTTTTAAGTGAGGTGCTGAAAAGTCTCGTGCTTTTTTTCCTCTTCTAGGTCTCTATAAATAACAAAAGAGATGCAGAGATAAACACAATCACATCAAAGGGTTGATGCCTCCACTTTCTAATAGCGGAAGAATCAATAAGAAAGATGGTTAGGATAAGATCCTGCTCCAATAGGACTCCTTTCCTTCCCTTAATACGGTTGAGCGGAAACTGGGAAGTGCAAGGCAGAGATGCGATCTTCCTCAGAAGTGATTTTTTTTTTTTTTTTTTGAAATAAGGCTTTGTTCAGCTGATGTCTCCCCAGTTGCCAGGAACACAATACTGTAACTCGGGGCTAAGCTCGCCTCTTCCTCTTTCCTCATTTACTTGTAGGTCGTATAAATACACCTATTTGCAGTTTCAAAGTCTTTAACGGCTTGCTTACATCTCCCACCCCACCCCCTCCTTTCTTTACCTTACAGCAAAATATATATGGTCTGGCTTGGAGACGCTTGGAGAAGGTTGGTGGGAAGTGAACGTCTCCCGGAGTAACAGTGACAGGGAAGCGGAGAAAGACGGGAGAGGGTGGGAGAGCCAGAGCAAAGAGGCAGAGACGCGTGTGTGGCTTCTTGGCTCTCCTGGTACCAATTGATTCAGTCTGGAGATGGTGGAAGAGATAAAGGCTTAAGAAGGGGGATGGAATTTTTTTTTTCCCTAAATTGATATTTAATGGGAAATCCTATTGGACAGAAACCTGGACATGAGTCACTTAATTGGACTTGACATCTGTCACAGTGTGGGAGTTTTCACAGCCCAAATATTTTAGCAGATCAGATTCCCACTGAATCTGTGCCATAAAATATAACAGTTGAAAGCAGTCCATGATAGAAACCTTAGCCTCTAAACAGAGTCTCTAGCCATTATCAGACTATTTCTCTTTTTTCAGATTATTGATGCAGTATTTAAGTGCGAATAAACAACATATTGACTATGGAAAAATTCTCCCCACATATTAGGCAAACAGGATTTTCCCTCATAATGTTTAGGAAAATATTCCTGTCCAGAACACGAAAATATACACCATAGATGGTACTACAGTAAATATATTCAGATATGCAACAGCTAACATTTATTAGGGATCATTTACTTGATTTTAGTGATCATTTGCATTTTAAAAGATACTGGAACAGGACTTGAATGAACATATTCATGTTTTTTAAATCTATCCTGCCACTGGTTTAATTTTCCAACATATGATTTTTTTTAAGCCTTTTCAATAGATTAAGTCATTGGCGGAACTGGGAACAGAATCCAGGTATTGTAATTTCAGAGAGCATTCTACAACAAGACCATTCTACTTTTCTAAATATGTTTGTTTCTCTCTTCACCCATTCATTCATTCAAGTTAAAATATGGCATGTTACGTGCGTTGATTATTGCATTTCATTTTTGCTTATTTTAACCACGTGAATATTTAGCTGTGTGGCAGTGCATTGGGCCAGAATGCAAACCCACACAAATCACCAGTGTATTGCAGCTCATTATGCCTTTGCCTTACACGACCCCATGGTCCTGAATTTATATGCCTTCTAACAAAAGGGAAAATCTAGTTCAATTACTTTACCACTTTATAGAGATATTGTTAGTCTCCATCAACTATATATTATTTGCAATCATCTTAGCTTTTTTGATTGTGTAAGCTTAAAAAGAAATAAAAGAGTATTGTAGCCTTATTCCCACCACACTAATTCCTGCGGGAACATTTGTGGAGAGAGGAGTCCTCGTTTTTCCTTTTTTTCAATTTTGCTCTAAAAACAGGTTTTATCATCAGGGGAGAGGATTGATCAGCCTGCCCCTGGGAGTGACCCTCATCGCTACCACCAGTCCTGTTTGCTTTTGCACACACTTTTCAGCTTATGGGAGATGCCTGGCCCAGAACAGGGTGGGGGTGAGGGAGAGTAGGAAGTGCCTCCAAGGAAAATGGGCACCAACAGTTTCCAGCCTTGCCTCTGCCCAGCCCCAGCACAGAAGTGCATTTTAGATATCCCTAGGACATTTAAGGGGAGGCGGAAACCAGCCACATTTAGGTGGCACTGGAAACAGGTGAGTGGTGAACTCCCCAAGGTGATGAAGAAGAACGGAAAAAGGAGATTTCCCCAGTGTAGCTGAGAGCAGCAACACTAAGCATTTACAGATAGCCAGAAGTGTGCACACATTTGTGCACCTACAAATACCTCTACTCACCGCCCCCACCACCACCACCACTACTCACATAAGCTAGCTGGCCCTATTAGACTGCTACACATTCAGATGGACAGTGAAAAACCTGGTGAGTCTAATCATGAGCCATAGCACATGAGACAGTTGCTACAGTGGGAAGCCGCTGTTATCTCTGGTTACCCTGGTGTTGGGGGAAGAAGGGAAAGGGAAAAGGTACTAAGGCAGGTCGGATTCAGCCAAGGTGGGTGTGGACCCAGACACCTTCTTTACATTCAGGCTTACTGATTGCACACTGACAGGCCACATGTACATACCTTAATACGTAAGCCCTTGTAAGCAGGTACACGCTCAGACCCATACATAGCCATGGCTGGACGCATGGTCATGGTCACACACATGGATTCACACTAACGTACATGCATTCTTTCTCCCAGGAAAGCCTCCCCTCCCCCGCTGCCACCTTTGCCTTTTCTAAGACCTCCCTGGCACCCATGGTCCTTCCTTCTGTGCTTCACAAGCACTTTTTTTTTCTATCCCCCTTGGAGATTACATATTGTATGCGGTGAATCTTGGTTTCCATACCTGTGTTTCCTACCAAGCTGTGATGCTTCCAGGGCAGGTCGGCAGTTTACAGCCCCAAGGAGAATGTCTGAGTTGGACACATTGTAAGTACTCAGGACATTTATGGTGAATGACGCCCTGTGTGCAGAAGCAGCCAGGATGTTTGTAACACAGAAACATTTCTACCAAAAGATTCCCATGGTTTCACTTGTACCAGTTTCCTCTTCTACAAAAGTGAGGATAATAATCCTGCCCTACTCACTTCACAGGCTGGTTATGAGACTCACTGTATGT